CCCCAAAACCCCAAAACCCCAAAACCCCAAAACCCCTGAAGTTATAACCCATATTGAAATCCAAATTATTTTTCTATTGCTAATCATTTTCGTAATATAGCTTGGTAGTAGTGGTCCACATTAATGAATGGGAGTTTTCAATAGTAACAACATCCTCAATAATTTCGTTGGATGTAGAAATTATTTCGCCTCCAAATTCTAGGGATGAGAATTCTTCCTCAGAGTTTCCTAGATTCCATTTTAGTCCTGAAGTTTTGATGTTCTCTCATTTTCCACTTAAAGGAATCAAACCAACACCAATTTTGGATTCTAAATTTTTGGATATACGAATCTCGTGCTCTCCAGCTGCTAAGTACTGGGTGACAGAATTCTGATCAAGAAGTATAATTTCTGCATTATCCTTAAGCTCAGCATCAACAGTAAGATATCTCGATAATACGTGCATTGATGAAAGAGTCTGGTCGATTCTGCCTCCAAAAGGAAACAGAACAATTACTTTATTAGGCCGATCATCTTTTGATTCATCTTCAGAGTTTTTGACAAGCAATTCTTTGATAAGATTTAATGCCTTTTCAAAATCTGTGTGATCTTGGTCACCATCTTTAATGATTTTTACTCCCTTTTCTTTGTAATAATCAATCACTTCTGTCTTTGAGGAGTCAAGGTCTCCAACAATATGGGTCGGTAAGTGATTTCCCCTATCTGAATCACTAAATGCATGGTAAAGCCTGTTGGAAGCTCCATCGCAGCAGATTATATTCTATGAATTAGAGATATGATAATTACTGATGCAAATTTGTAGAGTGGATCAAAGATTTCGTGTGTAATAGGCCTGTTCACCAGCATTAAAGTGATTTTAAAAGGCAGATCTTCCTTTGCTATCTCTTTAAACTCTTCTTCTGAGAAAATTAAATCTAAGTATGTTGTATCATGAATTTTGTTCGACATTTTCAAAATATATCTAAAAAAACGGGGTTTTGGGGTTTTGGGGTTTTGGGGTTTTGGGGTTTTGGGG